GAAAATATGATATATATATATATATATATATATATATATATATATATGAGTATTACTCAGCCATAATAAATGATGACTTTATGACATTTGCCCATAAATGGATTGATCTGGAAACTATTGTGCTAAGTAAAAAAAGCCAGTCCTAAAAAGCCAAACATTCAGTGTTTTCTCTGAGAGGTAGAAGCTAACCCACAATAAGGCAGGGGGGAAAAGAGAAAGAATAGAAATTCAGTAGATTAGACAATGAGTATAGAGGGAAGGGAGGAGGGATAGGAAAAGGAAGGACAATGGAATGAATCTGACAAAATTTTCCTACATACATATATGAAAACATCACAGTGAATCCCACCACCATGTCCATCCACAAGAAGGGGTCTTAACTACAATAAGATATATTCCATGCTTGTGTAATTATATCAGTATGAATTCTACTGTCATGTATAACCAAAAAAAGGAGCCAATAATTAAAAAAAAAATAATAAACTACTGATTAAAAATATTTGGAAAAAAAAGTTGCATTTGTACTGAACATGTAAAGATTCTTGTTGGTCATTACTTCTTAAGCAATATAACATGACAACTATTTACATAATGTTTTCATTATATTAAGCATTATAAGCAACCTAGAGATGATTTAAGTACATAGGAGTAAGGTACATAGGAGAGGGTAGGTTATATACAAATTTGATGTCATCTCATTTAAGAAGCTTGAGCATCCACCAATTTGGATATCTTCAGGGGGTGAGGGTGGGTGTCCCCAAACCAATCCCCAGCGATACCCAGGGATGACTTGCATTCAACTTCTGTGTGTTCTGCTCATGTTCTTATCTAATAGTTTACATAAGTCCTTGTCGTATGGGTTCAATAAGCGGCATGAGTTTGAATAAATAAAGGCATATTATTTCTTCTGAAAAAAAAATATATATAAATAGGTCAAGCACCACCGAAGAGATGCTTGATAATGAAAGAAGGCAGATATGAATTAAAAAGAAAGAAAAAGAGAAGGTATTCCATAAGACAAAAGCAGGGGCTATTCCCCTAGGAAAAAATAGCCTTAAAATTCCAATGAAAAAGAAACAAACAAAATAACAATAATATCCATAATGATAATAATAAAATTCTAATGAAAAGTCATGAGGAGAAGTTGAATCCGTGTTTACGAAACTCTGTTGAAGAAGACTGGGACATGCGCAAACTTTAAAAAGTGATTTTTACCTAAAAGTCTTAGTCTCCAAACAAATTTTGGTCCCCTAGGAAATAAGTATGATTTAGAAACCCAATCAACACAGAACCTCTTTCCCTTTCTTGTGCCAGATAGCAAGGTATCATTTGGTGTTTCCTGAAAAGTCAGTGCCAATAGTCGCCCTGACCGAGTGGGAGGGGCTGCCCTTATTAAAGCAAACTTTCTCTAAGTTGTATCTGCAGATGGTCAGGCGGGGAGCACGCTCTTGGAAGCTTCCCGCAGCATCTCGACCCCGTCTCCCCTGCGCCTGTCTGTGCCCCGGCTCTGAGGGCTCCACACACACACATCTCCACAGCAGCTGGTGGGCTGGACCCCAGCAGCCAGCGTGGGGCAAGCAGAATGCGCGATTGATGGGGAACCTTGGAGAACAGCCCCGAGCCAAATGGTTCCTTGCACAGAGCCAAAAGGATGAGGGTGGGCAATCCGTTTGGGGGCAAGAAGCAGGGTCCCACCAACATGACACGCCTTTTCTTTCTCTGCACAGCCCTGGTATTGTCTGTGACATAATGCCGTCCAGTCCTCCACGGCCGCGTACAAGGGCCGCTCCTGTCTTCTGTGAACGACTCCATATTAAATTTGAGAGCAGTGGGTGTCGTTCGCTCATAGACTCTGAACAGATGCCCATTCTATGTGCAGGGGAAGGAATCAAGGATCCCAGGCTGATTTTTTAAAAATTGGGTGGTCTTTCTCTCTAAGTAAGTTTGGAAATATTAAAAGCCAGGACCCACAGCCACTGTCCTGGAAGAAGAGGACAGTCTCCCAGGAGTCGGAGGGCAGGCTCATGGGAAGTGCTATGAGTAGAAGAGACAGGAATAGTGGGGGAGTTTCCATCCACTCCACCTGGGTTTGTAGCCCTTGCAGACCAAAGTGAGCCGTTTGTACATGCAAGTCACTCCCATTTTATTCCAACTGGAATCTTTGTTAAAATGATTATTTAAAACAAGTCACCCAGGTGATGTGACAAGGTATAAAGATTAAGAAAAGGTCAAGAAGAGAGATACAGGAATGAAGGGATTTAATGACTTTATACAAAAGGTAAAACATAGCATATGGCCACTTCCACTTTGAACAAATTTTGACCATATTCCTACGGAATAAACACTATATAACACGTGTTTTCATGTCATCATGAGCAATCAGCTCTTCGGATTTTTATTGACATATGTTTTAACATCGTTTGGACAATTCTGTAGATACGATGTTGTATTCTTTCCAGGTCCTAATCACTTATCATCTTTAGTAAACAGGTAACATTATATTACGTCGATGTTCCATAATTCATTTATCCATTGTTTGTTGCAAAGCATTTAGGTTACTTTCAGCTTTCCACTATCATAAATAACACTGCTATAAATATATCAGTGCATACACCATTTCTTCTTTTAAATTACTTCCTTGAAATAAATTCCAAAGAATGAGATTGCGGGGTCAAAGAGTACAGACATTTTAATGACCTTTGACCTACATTGATTGCCAAATGCCCTCAAAAGGCATTGTGCCAGTTTTCAAAGAATGATATACCTGCTTTCCCCATAGTCCCATCAGCACTGAGTTATTTATAGGACCCTCCTGGATTTTCATTTCTTCAATCTCATTTGTTTGAGATTAAATAATATGCCTTCAGGAGTATTATGACAAGTAGCTATATAACCCCCTGAGTACTTAAGAGTGCTTTAGGACATAACAGGAAGAAAAACAAAACAACAACAACACAAAACAAGCTGAATCAATACTTTCCCAGCCGTGCTCAAAGCCTTTGCAAACTGAGTGTCTGAGACGCACAGTGAGGTTTCACTCCTGAGGACAACGAAATTGGTTCTGAAACGACCAGAATAACTTCAGCACACCAGGGTCAGATAACTGAGTTTTCATTTTAGGCACACATTCACACACAAAGCTCTAAATTTTGCTAAAAGATGAAGGTTAAGGGAAGCTCACTTATAATGGCTAAGGGAGGCTCACTTATGTTATCAATGCTTAAATTAATGATGTTGAGCAGCAAAAAGTTTACTCTGGGTGAACTGCTGCAAAGACATCCAATTATTTCACAGTTGTTTTTCTGTCTTTCCTCCATGTCTCCAGCTATCTTGAATAAAGAGAGAGAAAAGAGTGAAAGTTAAATAACGGAGGGCAAGAGTCTCTCTCGTTCTTTCTATGAATTTTGCCTTTGACCTGGTCCTATTTTCTAGAAATACTGTGCAAACAGAAAAATGGGTAAGTTGTGTGTCAATGGGTTTTACAAAGAGCATGATTAACTGAAAACAAAAACAAACAAACAAAAACCCTGAATTCTTCAAGACCAGTTCAAATATTGTTGCTTCTTAAATGCCTTCTTAGTGTATCTTGGGATTCCTGTTACAGTGTAGATGTTCTATTAAAGTCCTTGGAATGAAGATTGAGTGGAATGTGGCAAGTTGATGGGACCTGCCCTAGGGCACACAGTAAAGGTCTAAAGGACATGTAGGGATTCCTGTTATTCAGGAAGCAAATTCACTTCGTTGGAACTGGCATCCTTCTCTCTTGAGCCCCTCGGCATCAGCTGGGAGTGTCCCCTGGTGTTTGTAACTCCCAGTGCCTGAGAAACAAGAGCATGTCAATGCATATTTTAAAGCCCCATGTTCACAATGGAAAAACAAAAACCACCAAGTGCAAATGTGAGCTCAGATCCATCCCTACCCCATCACCACCCACAAAGAGGGCGAGAAAGTACTGAGGAACAGTCCAGTGTCACCAAAAGGGTGGGAGAGGCATTAAATGGGAGATGGATGACCAGGAGCTCCCTGGATGGGGCCGGGGTGCTGCTGACTGCCTGGCGGCTGTAGGCAGCCACAGCCCTGCTGGCCGCTGGACCATGCCATCGACGGTGACCTCCAGCTGGGGAGAGGCTGGGATAGCAAGACACCCTTCAGCCCTGCTCCAGGCTGCTGATCCCTAGGCGCTTCAGGGCAGGGTTAGTGGGACGGTGGGAAGATGGAGTAACAGAAGGTGAACTGGAGGAAGGCATGTGACCTGCCAGAGAGGACCCTTCATTTAGAGGAAGTAAGTCTGCCCGCGAGGGGCCTGCACATGGTGAATAGCTAGTTCAGCCCCAGAGAGAGGGTCACCAGTGTCAATGGCTAATTCAGAACATAAACTTCCATCTTTTTTTCTCTCTGTCTTCCCCCTTGTTTTCCCCCCTTCTCTCCTTCTCCACCTCTGTCTCTCTCCCTTTCCTTTTCTTTATGTCCCTAAACATTTTCATCCTTGGTGGTCCCCACCCTCTGTCACCCTGAATAATAAACAAAGTCCAAGAAAAGGACCTGAGCAGCCTGGCCTGCAGCAAGAGCCACCTGGATGACCAGCACTGGCTTTCTCAGTGGTCATCTCTCTTTGCACTGGAACACTGGGGCCTCTGACATGCACAGTGGGGTCATCTAGCCCCAAAGCTCTGGCCATAGGTAAGGGGTAAACCACCGAAGGAGGGAAATTCCCTCTCCCCTAGCCTCCACCCCATGTGCAAGCTTTTCCCATCTCCCTCTCCAGCAGCGTCATCTACTTCTTCCTCTAAAGAGCACCTTGTGTATACCTGGTTGGATGCTCATCCCCTCCCCATGTAAATTCGTTTCTTTGTTTCTCTTCCCAGCTGGGTGACAAGCTCCAGAGGGTGTTTGGGTAGACCTAGCCTTACCTTAGGTTCCCACTCCTATCTCCCAATAGCCATGAGACATTGAACAAGCCACCGACTTCTTTGACATCTTTGTTCCATCCACAGTCCACGTCCTGTGGCAGATGCTTATAAAATTCTACCTTGGGGGTTGTCACCTGAATCATGTGAGCTTTGGAATAATGATGGACCCAAGTTTATCCACTGGGCAATTTCTAGCCCTGAGCACAACACCTAATATATATTCTTGTTAAATAAAACTCCCCGTGCTCCATGGTTATCGAGCATGTGGGTAAGCGTAGGGTTAAGGGGTGAGGAATTTCTTTTCTGGACCTCAGAAGGCATCACTGAAACCATTTTGGTGGCAGTAGGCCATTTGTCCCCAATACCAACACTTCAGAGAGAATCACTTTCATGCCTCACCTTGAAGCAGGTTGTAGGGGGGTCAAACTCCGTGTGCCAGTGAGCTTGGGTTTAAGCTTGGGTCACTTTTGTCCTCTCATTTCTGCTGCACATATAAATTGAGACCCAGTTGTAGTGTTGACTCTGACTGTGCTCATGTGCGAATGGCAGCCAGTCCACGTCCTGTGGCAGTTTGCAACCTATGGAGCCATGCAGTGAAGAAGGTTAAAAGAGTTTTAAGAAGGCCTAGGGACTCTCTCCTGGAGATTATCAGGGAAGGCTCCATGGAGGAGGTGCCCTATCCAGGTGATCAGGATCCAGTGCCTCGGATGTTGACAGTGACCAATAAGCCCCATGGGAACAGGCAGCTTTCCAGCAAAGCCTACAAACCTTAGGTTGAAAGAACCTTCCTTTGCAGTCCCTTCTGAGGCTTGGGAGGGCCCTATCAACTTGTTCGCATGCTCGTTTGTTTGCAAAATTTGCATCTGTTAGAAGTTTCAACCGTAATCCATTAAGATCATGATCTCAGAGCCTTGTATTCTGACCCCCTCTCTCACTTCCCTTGGGTCTGTGGATGGTGGAGTGGCTGAGAGCATTTGGGGGAGGTGGTTGATGGGCATGTGAATTTGGGAGGAGTTAGTTTAGTGGGGCTTGTTGGTATGCTTGGCAGTGACTTCGTGTTCACATCGAACCTTGTGTTCCTACTTTTACGATCTTCTTAACTGCACAAGCTGGGATTCTCCAGTTCATGGACATCACATATGCCAAAGTGCCATCATGGAGACGCATCGCTGGCAGCTGGAACCCTGGCTTTGGCCTCTTGGTGGGAGGAATTTCCAGAGTCGCTCTTCCCAGGGTAGAGCAGCTGCCCCATCCTGCAGGGGGGTGGGGTGAGGGCACCAGGGCTACCTGGAGGCCAGAGCCTGCCCAGGGGCCTTCCTTCCTGGCCACATGGCTGCCACTGGCCAACAGCTGCCTGTGTGCAGTCCCTCTCCCCAGAATCTGTGTGGCCATTCATCGCAGGCCTCCTCTTGGAAAGGCAAAGAAGGTTGCATTATACTAGGTAAAGCTTATCATTTGCATCTGCCAAGACCCATGCATTTCCCCTCCCTCCCTGCCCCTTGGCCCCCAGCAACTTCCCTCCCCCTTCTTTTACCCTCTCTTGTGGGTTTTCAATAGTGTGTGCCTTTTTTCTTTTCCCCCTTCTTTCTGGTCAAGACAAGGTTGTCTCTCTGGATGGAAAAAGGCAGTGTGTTCGTGGAGTGCAGCTGCATTTCAAAGGTACTTTGTTGGCCAGTTATGAATTTGCCTTTGCTAATGTGGGGAAACAGGGAGATTCTTTGGCTCCCCCCTCCCACCCTGAAATTGATGTTATTTCTCTGCCAGTGGTACCCAAGGAAATGTTTTGTTCCATTTCCTCCCCTTTCAAGCTGAGCCCTATTTATGTTCGGAGCTGGGGCACTGCCATTAAGGATCATTGTCATTACCACCAGCATCTGAGGCTGGCCAAATTCAGCAGCTGTGGTTTCATGCCTACCCTCCCCAAGGTTTATTTCCCTGACAACATGTCCTTGTTTAGACCAACTTTCTTAGTCTTTCTCCTGTGCCCCCCCCACAACCCCCACCCTTCCCCCAAATCGCCCTTACAGTTTTGTGGGGCTTAAAATTAAAAAAGGAAAAAGTGTGTGTGTGTGTGTGTGTGTGTGTGTGTTGGAAGTAATGGACAAGGGATTGGAGCTGGAAAAAAGATAAAGGACTCTGGGAGCTGGAGGAAGGGTGCAGGGGCCGGAGCCTGGGGTAAAGGGTGGGAAGTTTCAGCACAGATAATGGAATCAGATTCATTATGGTTTTGATGGTCACCCCTCTTCTCCAACCCAAGTTTGCAAGCCTCACCCTCGGCCTTGCCTGCCCCAGCATGTCCAATGGAATACCTAGGTGGCCCAAGGGGACCCCTGACCCCTGTATCCTGTTCCTTTCTCCCCGCTTTGCTACTTTTCTCCTCGATAAAAGGAGAGAGTGAGAGATAATTAACAAAAAACATGGCCCCGGGACAATGAAACAACTGGCCTTGGCCGGCAAGAAACGCATCCTGGTTTTCTAGGTAAACCCTCTCCCATCAATCTTTTCTTTAACCTCCCTGTTAGTGGAAGCAATAGGAACACCCCTCCCCTCCCCTGAGCAAATGCTTTCTTTTGACTGGAAACAAAAAAAGGGGGCTCTGCGAAGACAGAGGTGAAATCTGGGTGGTATGGGCACCGCACAATGGGGCCGCTGTTCCTGGCCGGGCTTGTGTTTTACAACAGGGGAGGGGCGAGCGTGAATGGGCCCACGATGGAGACAATCCCCCTGATTCAGGCCTACAAACGCATCTTCTATTCCGCACAGAGCTGGACAGAAAGGACGAAAGGGACAAAGAGCGCGGGGCGGGGAGAAGGAAGACAAAATGTGTCCAGCTCAAAAATCTCTCCTATCCTACACGTCCCAGCCAGGGAGTCTGTGCAGAGAGGCTTCGGGAGTCCCCGGCCGCCTCTGAATGGCTTTATCTGGACTCTGATTTATTGATGAAGCTTAAGCAACTCACTACAGAAAGGCCCGGGGGTTTCTTTGTCCTAGAGATAAAGTACAATAGGCCACAATGGCCAAGATCTCTCGGGATGCTCTCGGGTCCTGCCTTTCTCTTGCCCTCTCCTCCCTGCAAATGCCAGCAGCCGTGAAAAACGACCGGTGGTGTGCCTGGGAGTGCTGAGGACAGGCTGGGCCACTTGAGGTCTCCTTAAGAGGGTATTATGGTCAGGGAAAATATTTGTGCTGTGAAGATGCCACACTCCATTTTGTTAATGGCTCTCGTCTGCCCCAGATGATCACACACACCCCCTCCCCGGCTGTCAGGGCGCAGCCGGGGCCCATTCACGGCGCCCTCGGAGACAGCACCCTCTCTGTGGCAACCAACATGGGGACATTGTGTTCACCTACTTGAGCAGAGGGGAAGGTGACCATGAGGGCAGCCTGCATTGTAAATTATCATTAAAACAAAAACAGGCAGTGCCGCCTCTGCCCTGGGACCCCTACCAATAAATCATGGCTGGCTGGTGGGGGAGAGCCCAGGAGAGACGGGGTGCTGGCGAGTTCCTCCCCCAAGGCCCGCCGCCCACCAAGAGGCGTCTGGCTCTGGGAACGGGGCAGCTGGGGAGTCAGGATGGGCTGGCCGGCCACATGGACTGCCTGGGCATCCAAGAGGTGCCTCTCTTTGCTTTGGATGAGGGGGGGCCTGGAGGGACACCTTGATGGCTCACAGGTCCTTTGCGCCCCTTCCTGCCATTTATCTGCCAGCCTCCTAGTCTCAAACACTACCAGAAAGAGAAGACCAGAGAGGAGAGGGGAGGGGAGGGAGGGGAGGAAAGGAGGGAGGAAGGGAAAGAAAGAAAGTAAAGAGGAAGGAAGGGAGGGGTGAAGAAGGGGGAAAGAGAGGGGAAAGAAGGGAGGGGAAAAGAAGGAGGGAGGGAGAAAAGAAAGGAAGGTAGAAAATAAACCATCTTCATTCACAGTCAGGAATGAGGAAGGAGCAAGGGTGATTTTACTAAAAATGAGTCTCTAGTCCTTGATTTGAAGTCTGCAGAAGAGAGCTTTATCCACCACACAGTAGTACTAAACGGCTCTGACCATCAACCAGGCATGACCCTGCCTTATGAGTGTCGGGCACTTTGTAACTTGCCACATTATTATCGACTTAATTTTCTGTGCAGTAGGGTTTGCCACTCTTTGAACCCATGTTCAAAATAGCAATCACTTTCCCCAATGTACCACCCAAGTGAAGAAAGGCTCAAGAGGGGTCAGAGGAGGACCCTATTGGAATTTGGAGATGGGGCCATTCTTGTTATGTTCTGGCTGAAAAGTTGTCTGCGTGGTGCCCACGTCCTGAGACCTTCTGTGAGGCTGATTTTAAAAGCAATGGACTTCTTCATCTGGCAGAAGAAATGTCTAGGCGGCGTAGCATTCAAGACGTGGCATGGGTATTGCTGGTGGCCTTGAGCTAAGTTAATGGTGATAATCAGGAGCAGAAAGCAGAGCAGAAAGATTTGAAAAATGTGGGTGTGCAAGGCCAGAGTAAAACTAGGGCTAAGGAAGTTGCAGATGTTAAAGACGTTATGGCCACTATGCCTAGAGACAATAAGAAAGATGGCCTGAGGGCATCTCAGGGCCGGCAAGACCACACCCATCTCTGGCTCCAGGGAGTAAAAGTGAAAATTATCTTTAAAAAAGACCAGTGGGGTACCCTCCTTGCACAGGGGGTCTAGGAAGTTTTTACAATGCGCGCGGCCACCTAGACACTCACCTTTGCTGAGCAAGTGTCCCTGGAGGCTGGGCTACTGCTTGTGTCAACCATGTGGTGCTGGTTCTACAAGAACGCAGGATGCTGGAGTTAGCGGGTCATGGAGGCTTCCACCAAGATTTCAAAGGAAGACCTGGGAGGCCCGGCAAAGTGCAGCAGGGTCTGAGTCCCTGAGGGTGCTCCCTGAGAAGTCAAAGGGTGGAGATGTGAGGTGGAAGCCAAAGCTGCCTTGGAGATGCCCCCAAGACTAAGAAATGCCAGTAACATGGGACATCTTCGTAGGAAAGCTGAGAGAGAGAGAGAGGTGTCCACTTGCCAGATACAAATATACCCCAAAGCCACTCCCCTAATTCCCACCTCCTCCAGCCACACCCACCTGCCTCCAGTCACCACTCAGTTAATCCCTATCAGGGGATTAATTCACTGATTGGGTAAAGACACTGCCCAATCACTTCTCCTCTGAACCTTCTTGATTTGTCTCGCACGTGAGCTTTTGGGGGACAACTCACAACCAAACTCAAGCAGAGACAAGCCAACAGAAAGGCCACTTGGGCTGCAGCAAACAAGGCCCCAGGGGCAGAGTTCCACAAGCCCTTTGGAGAGAACATCATGATACCATGAGCCCCAGATGCCACATGTGGAGCCACAGGATCTGTTTGCCCAGATGGATTTCCATCTTGCTTTGGTCCTATCCCTTCTTTCTAACGCCCCTGATTTTGTGAATGGAAATATTTACTCTGTGCCATTATGTATTAGATACTTCTAAATTGCTTTTAATTTTACAGGAGGAGCTCACATGTGAGATTGCTTTGAGCCTCAGAGGAGACTTTGGACTTGAATTTCAAGCAATCTCAGAACTGTTGACCATGGGGACTTTGGGGAATGGACTAAGGGTATTTTGCATCGTCAGATGAGTGTGAGCTTCTGGGGGCCAGGGGTGGAATGCTATGGTTTGGCTGTGAGGTGTCCCCAAAAAGCTCACAAGTGAGACAAAGCAAGAAGGTTCAGAGGAGAAGTGATTGGGTTGTGTCTTTACCCAATCAGTGAATTAATCCCCTGATAGGGATTAACTGAGTGGTAACTGGAGGCAGGTGGGTGTGGCTGGAGGAGGTGGGAATTAGGGGAGTGGCTTTGGGGTATATATTTGTATCTGGTATATATTTCCCTCCCCTCCCCCTTCCCCCTCCTGATCATCCTATGAGCTGCTTCCCTCTGCCACACTCTTCCTCCATGATGTTCAGCCTCACCTGGAGCCTCAAGGAGTGGAGCCGGCTTTCTATGACTAAGATCTCTAAAACTCTGAGCCCTCAAATAAACCTTTCCTCCTCTACAATTGTTCTGGTCAGGTCCTTTAGTCACAGCAGCAAAAAATCAGACTAAAACAGGGGTCCACCATGATGACCTCACCTAATCCTAATCACCTCCCAAAGGTCTCAATCCAAATACCATTAACATATGAATTTGGAGATTAAGTTTCCAACACATGAACTTTTGAGAGACACATTCAAATCATAGAACATGACTGATATAAAGTACTTCCAGAGAGACACATACATTTTGTTCTATACATTTTTATGAGAATAAACAAACATACACATTGTGAACAGGATTATATACCTGAACATATTTATGTTTTTTCTGTCTGCTTCTCCATTACCAGCAGGGGCAGTGTTTAAAAAGATGGACTGAGAATCATACTGTGCTCCAGCTCAGGGGTGTGCTCAGGAGTGAATACTATCCATAATATCTTTACAACAGCATCCAACACATGAAGAACATCAACGTAAGTGGAGTTGGGGTCAAGAATAAACAAAATATAGTTTGTATATCAACACATAATAGCTTTGCCTGTCAATACACAAGGACATACCTTTGTTTTCTCAAAGACTCCTTTATAGTCCACCCTATCATTATTTATCAAATGAATTTTTTTCTAATGACAAACATTTATGTTTTCTAAACTTTTGACATTATAAACAATGATTCAATGAACATCTTGATGCACACATATTTTAACACATTTCTTATTGTTTCCTTTTAACAAATAACCAAGAAATAGAGTCACTGGATCAAAGATAATACCACTACATGGTACTCCAGAAAGGTCAGATGGAAGGCTATCCCACCAAATCCTCACTGATACATTAATTATCATTCTTTGTCATCTTCAATAATCTAAAAATAAACAAATTGAGGTACCATTCTGATATGCATTCAGTTGATTAAAATTGGGGTGGGGCACCTTTCACGTTTTGTTCATATCCTCTGCCCATTAGTCTTTTGAGGGAATTGTTAAAATGATTATCACTTTGTCTGCCCCAGGTGCTGTGAGTATTTTTGCCAGTTTGTAGTTCACCTATTAACTTTGTTTCTGGTTCTTGGTGCCACACAAAAGCCAGAGTGAAGGGAGAAACGTGCAGAAAGCATCATTTCTGCAGAGATTGGTAAATTGAGTCCTGATGCATGATTGAAGGTCCACTGGACAGAGCATAAGTGGGGAGAAGCAAACAGGAAGTCAAATTGGGTCCTGAGAGCCTAAAAAATAACCTGACACTATCAACTTCTTCTGGCATTTAAAGCCAGCTGAAATTTACCACCCGAGTTCTTATGAAAGCAGAATAGGGGTCCCCTTTCATTCCCATCCTCTTCTCTTCCAGCATGGAGGCAACCCCAGGGGCATGTCTAGTTTTCAGGACATGGGGCATCAAGAGCAGGGTATGGTAATAATTTGTTATTAAACAAATAAGTTATATGATCACACAAATAAGGAAACATACTAAGGCCTGGTTCCTCCCTGTCAGAGAATGCATTCACAACGATGTTAAGGGAGAAGACTAGAAGAAAGCAAGAGGTAATAGAATGGAATTGGAACTACCATTAAAAAGTAATTTTAAGCCAGGTGCAGTGGTGCACGCCTGTAATCCCAGCAGCTCTGGAGGCTGAAGCAGGAGGATTGGGAGTTCAAAGCCAGCCTCAGCAAAAGCAAGGCACTAAACAGCTCAGTGAGCCCTGTCTCTAAATAAAATACAAAATAGTTTTGGGGATGTGATTCAGTGGTTGAGTGACACTGAGTTCAATCCCTGGTACCCGCCCCCCCCCAAAAAAAAGTAATTAAAAAAAAACATGTCTGTGTAGTTTACATATATATATATATATTATGCATATATAATAATATGTATGCATGTCACCTGTACATACATACAGGTAGATATAGAAATCACATGACACGTGTATCTGTACAGAGACATTTATATGATCATGTGTTTTCTAGCTCTGTCCCCTGAGACGGTGATACCTCCATAATAGCAAACCAACTGAGCACTCAGATCTTGGTTTCTAAATACCCCTGCACCAAAAAGAGTAAAAGCTTTGTAGAGAAATCAGTGATTTGGGGCAGGGACAGAAAAAGTATAAAGTGCACCTGGAACACAAAGTTCCAGGTTCAAAGATGATGGATACATTCAAAAAGATGCAGAAGCCAGTTTGAACAAGCTCCCACTGGTCAAAGCAAGGCAATTTGAGAAACAAAATGAATATTGAGAATATCAGATTACATTCATTGAATAAAACAGGAGTCCAAAAGTCCATATGATATAATTTAATGAATAAATAAATGGAGAAGAAGAAAACATTTTCCATAATGGTAGAATCCCTACTAAACAAATATAGAAGGAATAAACCATATATCTGATAAGAACTTAGAGCTAGAATATAAAAACTACTGCAAGTCAATAAAAAAATACAAATTACCCAATTAAAAAATAAGGAAAGATAGCCAGATGCAGTGGCACACACCTGTAAACCAGGCTACTTGGGATACTGAATCAGGAGGATCACAAGCTCAAGATTAGCTTGAGCAATTTAGCAAGACTCTGTCTCCAAATTAAAAAAAAAAGGCTGAGGTAATAGCTCACTGGCAGAGTGCTTGCCTAGCATGCATGAGACTCTGGGTTCAATCCCCAGTATCTACACCACACACACAAAAAAAGCAAAGGATCTGGTTATACATTGGTTTCAGTTGTGTATTAGTCAGATTTGCATTACTATGGTGAAATACCTGAGGTGGCTGATGTTATTTTTTTTAAAAAAAGTTTATTTAACTCACAGTTTGGAAGCTTCAAGTCCAGGATGGGACAGCCTCATGTGCTTGGATTCTGGAGACAACGGCACATAGTGGTGGGAGGCATGTAGGAGCAAGCAAGTAATCACATCTGTAACCAGAGAGAGAGAAGGGAAGACAGTGTGGTCCTGCAATCCCAATGACCTCAGGACCTGCCATAAGGCCTTGCCTTCCAAAGGACCACAGCATCTCCCCATAGCATCACCCTGGGGTCCAGGCCTTTGATACATGGACTTCTGGGGGACATTACCCATATGCAAGCCATGGCAGGTTCAATTGTGCCTGATCCCCAATTGAAATAGGTATGTCGAACTTCTAATGTGACTAGATTTGAAAATAAGATTATTAAGGATATCACAAGGTCATACTGAAGTAAGATAGGCCCCTAATCCAAAAAGACTGGCGTCCTTGTAAGGAGAGGAGAAGTGGCGGTGGAGAGCACCACGTGAAGACTGAAGCAGGGATCAGAGTGACGCACCTACAAGCCAGGGAATGCCCAGGACCACCAGCAGCCACCAGACGCTGGGAGAGAAGCCTGGAGCAGACCCTTCCTCACAGGCTTCAGGAGGAACCAACCCTGCTGAGTTCACAGCAGTACTATTCACAGAAGCCAAGAAGTAGAGACAACTCAGATGTCCATCAACTGGCCAATGGACACAGTATTTGCCAGTGAACCACTAATATGAACTAATAAATGAACTATAGTATGGATAAACCTTAAAAAAACGGAGCTGGGGATGTGGCTCAAGCGGTAGCGCGCTCGCCTGGCATGCGTAGGGCGCTGGGTTCGATCCTCAGCACCACATACAAAGATGTTGTGTCCGCCGAAAACTAAAAAATAAATATTAAAAAAGTTATGCTAAGCCAGTCACAAAGGATCGCATATTGTATAATTCTGTTTATGAAATGTCCAGAATAGACAAATCTGTATAGACAGAAAATAGATTTGTGCCCAGGGCACAAAAGAGGTTGGGAATACTAGGGGTAACAACCAAGAGGTATGGTGTTCTAAAATTGATTGTGGTGATGGATACACAAGTCTGTAAATATCTAAAAAGCCACTGAATTGTACATTTAAGTGAATAAATTGTATATGTGAATTATGTCTCAATGAAGCTGTTTAATTGTAGAAGAAATTGCAGAAAGAAATAATCACCATTTGCCAATCATCATAGCTATGGTGAGATGAAATTGGGTAGTTCTCCAACTTGTGCTCAACAGGTAGGAACTATATACCCCAAAGTGACCCATGCCCCCAGCCACACCCTACCCACCTTCAGTTACCACTCACATGCCTATCAGGGGATTAAGTCACCGACTGGGTTAAAGCTCTCATAACTCAATAATTTCTCCTTTAAACCTTCTTTCATTGGGCTCCCCCATAGCTATAAGTCCCTCACGTGACTCGTGTCACGTCCTGTATGTGGAGAAAAGGGATGCCACCCAGAAAGACCAAGATAAATCTGAGCAAACAGGCACTTCCTCATTCCCCCCAGTGTATACCCATCAGATCATATCCTTTGTGTCCAATCATACTTCTATACAACTGCCCATTCTTTATCAAACCTAAGCATTAAAATACACAATTCTCCCCTAGGTCTTTGGGTGTCCATTTCTGAAGACCTGGATCACATAAAACTTTAAATAACTTTGGTATGCTTTCCTCTTGTTAATCTGTCTTTTGTGGTGGGAATATCAGCCTTGACCCTTGCAATAGGTGAGAAAAGGTATTACATTTTTTTCTCTCCCACAGGGTGGTGATGGTGGGGGGTTCCCCTGACCTTCACTACTCTATTCTCCACCCAGTAGCTAGTATGACTGTTCTAGTCAGCTTTTTTGCTGCTGTGACTAAAAGACCTGACAAGAACAATTTTAGAGGACGAAAAGTTGATTTGGAGGTTCACAGTTTCAGAGGTCTCCATCCATAGACAGCAGGCTCCTTTCCTTGGGGTTCAAGGTGAGACTGTGCCGCAGTCCGGCTGGCTGGGCAAAATAGCCGGGGGGTGACAAGCAACTTGTATAGATTGATACAGCAGGAGTAGGAGCCGTTTATTGTAGGACAGGAGGGGTATATATACATTCCACACAGCTTATCTTAATTAACATAAACTAGATACAGCAGTCAACCAATAAGGAATCTCCACACTTAATGGCTCGCTGGCGTTACTTCACAAACCAGGCGCCATCATGACTTGTTTACAGACCCTAACAAGACTGAACATCATGGTGGAAGAGTGTGGCTGAGGGAAGCAACTCATATGATGACCAGACAGCAAAGAGAGACGAAGCTCAGCTCACCAAAAATAAACCCCAAAGGCATTCCCCAGTGACCTACCCCTTCCAGCCACACCCTGCCCTCCGTCAGTTACCACTCAGTTAACCCCTATCAGGAGATATAATCCAGTGATTGGGTTAAATTTTCATGACCCAATCATTTCTCCTCTAAATCTTCTTGAACTGTCTCAGACAGGAGCTTTTGGGGGACACCTCACATCTAAACCATAACAGTGATCTTCATTGTGTGACATTAATTAAATTATGTCATTACCTACTCAAACCTCTTCTAATGGTTGCTTCATTGCCTTTAAGTAAAACAAACACCTTGCCATGGCTGTATTACTTTTCTAGAACTACCACAGCAGAGCATCCCACATGTTGTGGCTTAAGATAACTTATATTTATTGTCTCACAGTTCTGGAGGCCAAAAGCCTGAAATCAAGGAGCAAGCAGGATTGGTTCCTCCCAAGGGGAACACCAGGCCTCTCTCGTTGACTTGTAGAAAGCCCAGAGCGATGGAGATAGCCACCCAATGGGCTGAGACCTCTGAAACTAAAAAGAATCAGCAAATAGACAATGTTTGTTGGTGAAAAATTAAATCTTCCATGACATTATTCAGTGTAATACTCAGGGTTCTTTTTTCCCCTATGGAATTTTTTACATTCATTAAAACCAAATGAACTGCTTATTTAAAGGTTAAAGAGAGAGGGCATAAAAATCATTCCATTTCCCTCTTCCTCTGTCCCTTTTTCTTCCTTTCTATAAATATCTATTATTAAATGTTATCTGCAACATAGTAAAATCCAATTGCTGCATTAGGTTCTAAAAATACAAAAAATTAAAAGATCAATATCTTTCCCTTCAGATGTTCATACCTCATCTTCTGAAATTACAAATCCATCTGGAAGTCCACATTTTTACACACATAGCGTACTTACCAGCTTGAAATCACTTCTAGTACAAAATGATCACAGCATGTGTATGAGCTCTCCCCGTGCCTGAACTCACATGGTTGTGCTTTTCTTTGGAACTTATACAATATTATTATTACATGTATTATTTCATATGATTCTCATAAAGGTCCATCATAATCTCTATTTTACTGGTGAGACCATTGAGGCCCCCAGCCATCAATAAATAATGCCAAGGGCCCAGAGTTAATGAAAAGAACAGCCAGAACTAGAACTCAGGGTTTCTTGCTTTCAGAGATACTAGTTTCCTCCCCATCACTATACAGCTCCAATCCTTCATTGATGTCCTCTCAGCCCTGATTTGGAAGCCAGGCTCCAATCTCTGGAATATGGATTTTTTTTTGTTTTCATTATGTATAGACTTCACAGTGGACATTGTAACATGGGGCTGAACTTGGAATCACCCAAGAAATTTAGTGAGACTGCCACTATTCTGGCTGCTATCTCAATTTGGAGTAAATCAGAAGCCACAGAAATGGCCTAAAACCAAGAAAAGGTAGAAGAAATGCAATTTCAAGCAGAAACCAAAACTAAATTCTTTTCTCCTGGAAAAATGTGAGGCTATGGACCTCCAAAGAGATGCAAGAATCTACTTACTGGCTTCTCTTATCGGTGAACAGGATTTCTAAGGCGCTAACATATCTTTTTGCATTCAGGTGGAGGGGTTAACCATGTCTGCTTTTCAGAAAAGGAAGCAGTTCCCAGATGTGAGACCCTTTCTAAGGTTACATGGCAAGTCAGTGGCAAAATGAAGATGGCGGAGCTCTAGGTGACAAAAGAGAAAACATGGGGTGAAAAGAAGTTCATCAAAGGACAAGGAGAACCACTTTGCTTAAACAACAGGGGAGGGGCTTTAATTTTATAGATACATATTAAATTAGTTAAGGCAATATCCTGTAACTATACATACAAACTCTCTCTCCTTTTTTTTTTTTTTTGTACTGAGAATTGAATCCAGGGACACTCTACCACTGAGCTATATCCCCAGCCCTTTTCATTTTTTAAATTTTGAGACAGGATCTTCCTAATTTACCAAAGCTGGCCTCAAACTTTCGATCTTCCTATTTCAGCTTCCAATTAGCTGGAAGTGAGGGCCACTGTGCCTGACAACTATATATCTATCTCTGTCTATCTATGTATCTATTTCTCTCTCCTCTCTCTCTCTCTCTCTCTCTCTCTCCTATATATATATATATATATATATATATATACCTACGGAGATTCTTTTAAAATTCTAGAAAAGTATGACAAATGCAGCTATGGACATAGATACACAAAACCTGAAGTAAATCCACAGCTGTTCAAAATAGCAGCCTTTTCTATTTTAGGAGAAATGGAACAACTTACAAAGCTAGTTGTTGAGTTTGTTTACCTGTTTGGTTTCTCTAACAAAGGCACACAGGTAGTAAGCTCAAAATTTCTAGTAATTTCCTGGCAATCCTTATATAAGATAGACATGAACAGTGTGTTGTGAGATTTTTTGAGACACTCTTCCAGCACCTCAACCTTCAGATCTCCAAAGGGGAAGGTGCTTTGCTGTCAGCTCTCACTAGAGAATGCTCAGTGGGCCACACAGCAGAAACTACATCTTGGGCCTCTGGGGACACCCTGATCCAGGATTTGGAGACTAGAGGAAAAGAGACTAAATCAAGAAAGGCTATATAGCAACTCAATTCACAATAGCTAAGCTATGGAACCAGCTTATGTGTCCTTCAACAGATGAATGAATAAAGAAAATATGATATATATATACACAATGGAATATTACTCAGCATTGAAAGAGAATAAAATCATGGCATTTGCAGGTAAATGGATGGATCTGGAGACTGTCATGTTAAGCGAA